TTAGTCTGGTCTAAGCCTGGGCTAGGATCGAGCTTAGTCTGGTCTAAACCTGGGCTAGAATCGAGCTTAGTCTGGTCTAAACCTGGGCTAGGATCGAGCTACGCCTGGGCTAGGCACGCTTTACCCAGTTTTTAAAAACCTTTAAATTATTCTCTTCATTTGAGCATTTGACACCATGTGTGGTGTTAATTTTAATGTTTTTGAAGTAATTTCATATTTTTTCATTAAACTCCTTTTATTACAAATATTTTGTTTTTAATCTATCGTTTTTATGACGTATAACTGCTGCTACTGGTTTTACTTGGTAGGGTGTCCCCCGCCTCTCGCACAGTGACCCCCGCGACCCACAAAGGAAGAGGCAGGTAAAGATAATGGCTGTTTTCATTCCTTGTTGAGTTCAGCACTTTGGGTGTTTTAAAGTGCTTTTTATTTAAAGCTGAAGAGAACCGGTGTTGATGAATGAATCATGTTCACACCCTGGAACTTTGTGATTTAGTCCATTGGTTGATGTTCCAGCAGCAACATGACCATTTCCATCCAGAGCAATCAGCCCTGGTAAGAAAAGAAACAAATGAGCATTATTAAAATAAAGAGGTGATGTTCAGTGGATATACAAACAGCAAATTAAAGTTTTTCAGTTTTTCTTGTATATTTCAATTAAAAGTGTGGAGAGCAAGCAACTGAACTTCTAACAGCTTCAAAGTAAATGAGTTAAAATAAAATCAAGCAAGATCATTATTATATAAAACCATGCTGCATCGTTATACGTTTGAACATTCCCAGATAATATGATTTAGAGTTGTAGTGAGTCACGTGAGATACGTGTCACTTGTTGTATGACAAATATATGGATATATATTTATGCATACTTTTCACGAGTTCTTCATTTTTCTGACTGTAAATGCCGTGCATTGAATTTAACACAAAATGTAACGAGAGACGTTATTTATCTTTGACCCATCAAATGAATGGAATCATTTATTTTCAGAATCAAAGTTTAACATCAAACATTTACATTAATTTGGCAAAATATGAAAATAATAACAGACAGTTTCACAGAAAATGAACTTCAAATCACTCGGCGGTGATTTGAGGACTTTGCTTCAGACATTTCTAAAAATATCTGTACTGATTTATGAGAGAGAAGAGTTTAAGATTAAATTGAGATTTATCTTACAGAGGAAATATGTGAGGGAATTTAATCTGTTTGACCAGAAGTTGCACGCTCCGTCCGATCTCAGCTTCTCACGGTACACTTGGTCAAAATAGAACCATCTACCTGTTGATGATGAATCAGCCTTGGAGTAGTTCCTTTCTGACTCGTTTCAGCGTCTCCGTCGAGAGCTACCAAACCTTCAGAGAGTCGTGCGTGGTTAGCTCAAAACAGAATTATAATCCCCAAAAAACCTCTGGATTCTTCATTGCTCTGAAGCTTTCAGAACCGACTGCACTCTCAATCTTGGAACTCTCACGTTCTCCAGAACTCTCAATCTAACATGAACTGAGAAGTTGCCACATTTTATTTGGGTCGACTTCCTGTTCAATTTAGAGCTTTCTGATTCGTGGAAGGACCAGAAAGAGGAGTGGTTTTGACGTAAGGTGTTTATCAACAGTCGAGGTCAGAGAATGAAATTTGTTTTCACATACAGAAAAGATTATTGCAGCAACAGCAGACTTCGTGGAGTCAACTCTTGGTAATCTTCTGAAAAAGTTTAAACATGACATTTTTCTCGGTAAACATTTTAGTTGACCGAAAACCAACCTTTCACATACTTACGACTTGACTCATTTCAGACAGAAAATCAAGGAATGCTTATTCAGGTGATTTCTTCTTGGAATGAGGAATAAAAATCATTACTTACTGTTTATGTAAAATAAAGATGAGTAGTTCTTTTCAACCTATAAGCATTGAGTGAACTAACACAATTTGATTATCAAAACATTTGTAAGACAGTAATGATTATAAAGAATTGTCTTTTCTGCTTGATTAATTCAAGAAAGAAAGTCATCAGATGGCCCAGACTTATTCAGATCAATGAAAATAACAGTCTCTGTCCATCTGGTAGATTTGAGGTCATCTGGTTCACTACAGAGTTAATGAGGCACCAAAAGATGCTTGAATGACGAGCAGCCCTACCTATGGTGTCATGGGAGTGTATATTAACAGGCCGCGCCCTCTTCTGCGTTAGTCCCGCCTCTGGCCTGTAGGGTCCGCAGGACTTGGAAGAATCTGGACTGACGTTCTGTCGACAGGTGAGACAAGCATCACTGCTTGCATTAAGTTGCTATCTTGGGACTTAATTACCTTAATAAAACACGAGCAAACATCCTGATCTGTAAGCAGTTTGATTCCAGGGACTTCATGAATCTGCAGCCTCAGCACATGTTTTGGTGCTTAATATATAATGATGGATGCCTCCTTCAGCTGTCAGGTAGCAGGCACTGCAGCGCAGCTAACTCCAGGTCCATGGTGTGGCTCGGAGCTGCCAGGTTGGCCAGCAGAGGAATGCGAAGTTTATTCTATATTCCATGTGAACATTTGCTGAAAAGTGTCTTTTAGGTCTGTTGCGATAAACAATAAATCAATTAATCACATGATAAATTAAAATTATCAACCTCATTTTCATTATTGGATTTATCGTTTCTTCGTGTCTCTCTTTCTACTGAAGACACTGGATGACAAAAGGATCAACTCTGGTTCTTCACTGACCCCTCCCTTTCTCTTTTATCTTTAAAAAATGTTTTAACCGTTCAAAATTGTGTTTTTGGATCGTTAAAAGCAGCTAAGCTGAGAAGCTAAGCTACAAGCTAACAGGCCGACCTCTGGGGAAAAAACCTCCGTCTTGTCGAAGCTCCAAAATTCACCATTGAAACCCGGGACTTTGTGTAAAAAGTTGTTTTTCTCTGCAAAAAGAAGCTGAGAACTTGTTTACTGATTTTTATTAAAAGTTTTGTGTGACAAATGCTAAAGAGCTCAAACCACACAGACAGAGCGTACGCCATTTTGAGAACAGAAAAACAGGAAGGAGAGACAGCCCATGTCACGTCAAGGGGCCTCCCTCCCATTTTTCTAAATGAGACACGCTGCTCGCTCCCTCACTATCCATCCTTCTACTGCCATCCGGTGGTCAAAAAAAAGGTACTACACACAAAAATTAACCAACATTTCTAATTAAATTTGACAATAATTATCAATTATTGTCAAATTTCAAACAATATTATTGTTTATCGCAATAATTTCTGAAACAATCGCCCAGCAAGATTTGTTATGGTGACAGACCTACGGTCTTTTTGTTTGTTTGTTAAATGATTGCTGCAAAATGTAAGTTGTGGAATGTTCCCTTTAATAAAAACAAAATCATTACAATGTTTTTATTTTAAATTGATGAGTAATGCTGGCACGAATCTTTAGTGACCTCTAAAATCAATCTAACGTTGCTTATTTAAAACACAACTTGCCTATCGTTTATAAAAGTGTAACAATGACATCACTGATGGACGCTTTGTTTTGATATTTGAATGTGATACATGGACGACACGTTAGCACTTGATGCGACGTGTTCAGTGGAAAAGTACGGAGATGACTGAAGGACTGGGTCCCTGAGATGTTTCCCCTCGATATTTTAAAGTTGTTTCTCTGCAGATCTTACAACTTTAGTAAAGTGCCTAAATGTTGCACAGAGGATATCAGATGTCAGAGTATCAGAGCGCAGCCCTTCAGGTTGAGTTTTTAATAAAACCAGTACTGGGCTGCAGTAACCTGAAGCCTTTGGTAACCAAGAAAAATGTATTTGGTTTAAAAATATATTGGGCTTTATCCTGATTTTAACTAAATAAAATCCACTCTGTTTTCATGTTAAACTAAGGGCAGCCTTATGAATTACTAATAAAACATTAATTCAGACGTTAGTGTGTGAACATTAATAAGCAGTTAAAGTGCATCTGGGAAATATGACGGTACTAGCTTGTTTTCTGGCAGTGAGCCAACACTCTGGCATCTGTGTACTCCGTTTAAAAAGTTGACCTGTATAATTTAGATTTTAAATAAACATTTGTCAGTAAGTTACCTGCACGTTAACACTTTGAGCATTTATAGATTTTATTTTTTGGGGGGGGGTTGAAGTTATTTTAAAAAAGCCGAGCAACGATCAAAAAGCGACTTGCCAGATTGAATCAAATGCAGAACTTGATGTTGCCGAATGGTGACAGCTTTAATGTACAGTGTTTCATAACTATTGTATTATTTATTTATTGAGCCTTTATTTGAGATCACTAAGACCTGAAGCCTAACGTGCATGTTGTGGACTGAGAGGAAACTGTGGAAAAACTTTACATTCTTCCTTTCATTTCATATTCTTTACTTTGTAAACTTTACGTGATAAGTTTAGTCTCCATAGAGAGAGATGGGATCTGATCAATGGCGCACCAAAGAATCTATGGATAATAACAGTTCATCTATTCCAGAGATGTTGTGACATTGTTTTGGAAGAGGAGGCGTTTGAAGGAAGCAACAGCTCACTGCTGTAGGGCATTACCTTTATAACAAAAGCTGACTTATTTTTTAAAGTACTTTTGTATTCCTGTCATTTTCCCCTTTTGAAATCAATCTTTTAGAAGCAGGTTGCCTGTGGCAGACACAAGTGAGGAAAAGCAGCGAGTGATACGCACACACATGCACTTACCTTCCGATAATTAGGTTGGCAGTTGCCCTTCAGCCACTGTGAGAAAATATTCAAAGATGTGTTGGTAGTCAGGTCTTCTGCTACAAAGCCCATGTTTTCAGCAAACACCGAGGCTACGAACAGAGAAGCAACACTCAGGTCAAGTTGCACATGCTACTTTGACCTTGGTTTGACACTAAAGGGCACAAACAAAGAAGGGACTTGGTCTTGTTGAGGTGGTCGACGAGGTTTGTCAAAGAGCTGCAGCTGTGAAGGCCTCACATCACACTGAAGAACAAACCTCTAATGACAAATTAACAATATCAAGAAATCCTGAAGATGCACGCCCTGTGGCTTCATTCCACCCTTTAGTCTCTAATTTTTCTTTCAACTCATCCGCTGCACAAAAAGAGGAAGCTCTGATAATTGTTTTTTTAAGGAGGCGCTTGAGTATGCAATCTTTGTGTCAATGCTCGGGGGGATGATCTGACCACTGCGTTCTCCTGCCGCTAATGTTTGTCATTTCAGGATTAAAGTTAATGCTGTTTCTAAAAGGTTTTGGTCCGGACGCAATAAGTGCCTGATTAAGATCATTAATGCAAATGCAAGTATCCCTCAGACACGTTTTTAGCCTTTTCCTTTAAACTATACAATCAAACAACAACAAAAAGTTGGATTTAATAATTTAATGTGTATCATTTAATGACCGCATCAGCCAGGATTTGATTCTTAGTCCTAAAGGAACATTCCACACATACCTGACTCTCCCACGAGCATCGTGTGCTCCGTGCGCTCCATCACAGCTCTGGCTACTCCAATAGCATTTTTGATTCTCCTCAGGTCAGCGACTGCGCCCACCTCCATTGTGTTACTGCACCGAGGGAAGACGGAGAGGAAACGAGTGAGTAATCTGACTTCGTTATAAACCAGCGTTTGAGTGGATTTTAAACTGCACCAACACGTGGTGAACTCAAATATACTGAAGGTTTTACAGAAAGAGCTCATGTTGCACTTAAATCAGCTTCTTCTGGATAAAATATCAACTAAAACAACATTTGACCAGAATTTAACTACCGGTAAATAAAGTCAGGTCCTCTGGACGGATTCTTCTTGTTGAAACGTTTTAATCCAAAGGACTTCTTCAGTCTGAGGACCCACAACAAACTCAGTCTTATAAATAGCACCTTCACACAGTGGATCAACCAGTTTGCTTATTAAATCCAGAACTAGCGTAAGTTTCGCTGTATAAGTCACAGTTTTTTTGCATAAATTAGCATGTCTGCGACTTGTACAGCGAATCAACATATTTATGTTTTTTGTTCCATGTTTATAACCTGATTTTTGGCTGAAATCTGATGATTTCATTCATTCTGACAGCACGATGGCTTAGTGGTTAGCACTGTTGCCTCACAGCAAAAAGGTCCTGGGTTCAATCCCCGGTTGCACCTGCTGTCTTTCTGTCTGGAGTTTGCATGTTCTTCTCGTGCTTGCGTGGGTTTTCTCCGAGCACTCTGGTTTCCTCCCACAGAACTAAAACATGCATGTTAGCTGCCTTCAGGCCCAGGCCTCCCTTGCAACAGAGATCTGTGATCTCAGTGGGATCAGCCTGGTTAAATAAAGGTTAATAAATAAAATCCGACATGAAAAACATTGAACACTACCAATTTCAGCCACTAGAGGGCCTTCAAGCATTATGGCAAGCCAAGTGTCTCATTAATAGCCACTACTACCTATTAATGGGAAAAATCAAAGCTTCACCGCGCAGGCGAAATGCAGCTGACCTGACCGTCAAAGTGCATTTATTAAGATAAACTGAGACACACCTTTACTATAATGTTGAGCAAACAAATAATTGTTTTTAAATGTTAATCTTGTTTTTGGCACAACACCGGCTTATGTTTCCAGGTGGTCAGTGTGACGCATAATAGATGCGACGTATTCATGTTGTTTTCCACTTTATTAAACATATTTGGACTGATATGATTTATACGACGGCGCGTCGTGTACGGCGGCAAGTACAGAAGCTGTTCACATGTAAAAGGAGGACCATCTGCCTAAGTGATCGTTAGTGCCCTGATGGCCACTTGCTCTCCACAGAGGGCCAAGTAATACTAGCAATAACATCACTGTAGGAGGGGGACAGTTGGACACGGAGGGGGACAGTTGGACACGGAGAAGTCTTTTGGATAAAAGACCAAACATTTCAACATGAAGAATCTGTCCACAGGACCTGACTTTACCTTTTTTTCCTACCTGGATTATTGAGCAGCATCAGGATATTTCACCAGAGCCAATTATATCCCCGCGGCAGGAGACACGTGGACGATATTGATTTTGCCTGAGTGAGTGTGTTTAGGTCACTTTTACCCAAATATTTCATGAACCACTGAACGATTCTGAAGGAAACATGCACATATAACCACTGGACGCACATCTACAGGTCATCAACTTTGGAAGTCGGCAAGTCAAATTTTTTTAAACTGATATTAAAAACGACAAACGGCTGTAACTCAGTAAATATTACAGATATTTATCAAGACCTGGGAATGATACCCTGCTTACCCTCTCATCACTAACTGTGCAAGATCTGCATCTAAACATCACCATTAACTGCTCTTTGTCTGGTAGCAAAACATTTATGAATGTGTTGATGAAACGTTCCCAGCACATGCTCAGAGCGTGACGCGTCCTGCACCAGAGCGCACGTTATTTTCCAGGTTTGACCAGCCATAACTGTCATTTCTCATCACACGATGATGTGAGTCTAGTATTCTGGCATGAAAGGTGACGTCCTCGTAAGCACCCCCATGTTACCGACTTACCGCTCTGCTCAGTCAGTCCTGACAATGTACGATGATGCAACGTATGTTGAGATTCTTAGAGAAGAATCCAACTGCTGGTGTCCACTCAATGTCTTTTGCAGGGAGCTGCGTGAGGGACATCCCTGTCCTCTGGATCATCGCTCCAAAACAGAGACAGTTTTGAAGCTAAACGAAAGGAGCGTTCCGTTAAAAAGTAAACAGCTTTCTGCTTTTTCTTTTGTTGTGAGCTGACATTTACTTCCCATTACAACTTCTGAGACTGTAAATGTTAGTATTTAAGGACCTAATAATTGGAAAGCTTTCAGATCATAATGAGACTCTTAATTAGCACTTCCCCGCAGAAGGCTTGAAAGAAAGGTCAGACAGTTAAGTGTGTAAATGTTAAAGATAACTAGAAATAGATAGAAGCAGCACAAATTGTAGTAAAAAAAAAAAAAAAAAAGAAGGTGTGTGGGGGGTGTAAAAATACGTTGACATGTAAATAATTAGCATTTAAAGATGTGATTCATCAATCAAATACAAGTTCTAATTTTTCAGATCTTCACAGCATCTTTCCTGTTCATTTAAACTGCACGCTCACGTCACAGCGTGCTGAAGCACAACGTCTGAATAAAAGCAGTGCAGGGCTTGAACTGTCTCACTGGTGCTTATGGTGCTACATAAAAACCATAAAGATGTTAAACTAGTTCTTTATGATAAAGATCTTTACTGCTCAATTAGGCTGAATTACAGATGTCTCTAGCGTGTTGTCTTCTTTATTTTTAGACGACGTGCAGTGCGTTACCCGTTCATGATCATGGCGTCCAGCGTGGTTTCTCCAGACTCGTCGGGGCTCCCGCCAAAGCCGACACTGCCATCGCACTGCTCCTGTTCGCAGCGGGAACAGCCTTTCTCTACTGCGTCCAACACCGAGCCCCCGGACCGGAGGACGCTCCATGCTGCACAGACAAGGAGCTTTAGGGTCCCTCTGTTCCAGAAAACCTTTGACTAACACTGCTGGACCTGATCAAGGCAGTTTGACTCAGGATGAAAACAGAAATATGAAATGCATTTAGCCATGCTTTCTTAGAAATGTTGGTTGAAATATTTGTTTCAAGGACTTCAAGGACTTGGGGTCCACTGTCCAGGAACATGGGGGGTGTGGTAAAGAGGTGAAGAAGAGAGTCCAGGCAGGATGGAGTGATGGAGAAAAGTTTCAGCAGTGATTTGAGACAAAAAGGTGTCAGCAAAGGTCAAAGGAAAAGTTTACAAGACAGTGGTAAGACCAGCTATGTTGTATGGTCTGGAGACAGAGACGTGGACAAAAAGACAGGAGACAGAACTGGAAGTGGCAGAAATGAAGATGTTGAGGTTCTCCTTAGGAGAGACAAGGATGGAGAAGATCAGGAATGAGATCATCAGAGGTACAGCACAGGTTGAACAACTGGGAGATAAAGTTAGAGAGGACACACTGAGATGGTTTGGACATGTCCAGAGGAGGGACAGTGGTTTGGACATGTCCAGAGGAGGGACAGTGGTTTGGACATGTCCAGAGGAGGGACAGTGGTTATATTGGTAGAAGGATGTCAGAAATGCAGCTACAGGAAAAAGACAAAGAGGAGACATATGGATGCAGTTGGAGTGAGGACAGAGGATGCAGATGACAAAGTGAGGACAGAGGATGCAGAGGACAAAGAGAGGACAGAGGATGCAGAGGACAGAGTGAGGACAGAGGATGCAGAGGAGAGAGTGAGGACAGAGGATGCAGATGACAGAGTGAGGACAGAGGATGCAGAGGACAAAGAGAGGACATAGTGAGGACAGAGGATGCAGAGGACAGAGTGAGGACAGAGGATGCTGAGGACAGAGAGAGGACAGAGGATGCAGAGGACAAAGAGAGGACATAGGATGCAGAGGACAGAGTGAGGACAGAGGATGCAGAGGACAGAGTG